AGTTTGGCTGTGCCGCCGCCGTGCGTTGCTCGACCAATTTCCCAGACTCTCTCTCTAAGCGCGTGTTATAGAGTTTAGGCAAAAGTCAGGAAATGTTGGCACTGAATTGCACGGGAGTTTGCTTCGGCTTGACTTTGTGTATTAGTATATACAAATATAATTTATGAATTAAACTCGTGGCAACGTACACCGTGACAAACCAGCAAGGCTGCTCAATTTCTTCCTGTTCTTCGTTCTTTTTTTTTTTTTGCTACGATCCTTTCTTTTTCCATTTTCATTTCACGACAGGAGAGATAAAAAGAAACAGTATGCGCAAAAGCTGTATGCGCGAAGATGATTTTTTTCCAAATCGATGCTACGCCTTTTTTCGACTTTCAGAGTCAATTTCCGAGCAAGGAATGTAAAAAAAAGGGCGAAACAACGCAGCCGTTTATCCATTCACCAGAGAGTGCGTTTAAACGTAAAAGTGGAAAAAGAACTTTTTGATTTGCGCGCATGCTCGCGCTTTCCAAAAGAATCGCGCGCACAAACGAACGCCACCGCTGCTGCTGCTGCGTCAATTTTCTGCAAGAAATTTTCGCATGGTTACGCGCCACTTTTTTTTACACTTTTTTGTTTTTATATTCATCGGTCGAAACATGTTTTTGAGAAAAATGGAAATACTTTACTTTTGATGTAAAGTAACGTGTTCGCTGTAAGCCTATAGCTGCAGATGAAATCATTTACAAGTTTTTGCACGAATCGCTATTCGTAATACGTAAGCTTGTACCGAAAAACAAAAAAAGAGTAAAGGAGAAAAGAAAAGGTCGCGTGACACTAACTCGGATAAAAAAACAGTAGCAGCAGCGGCAGCAGCAACAGCAGTGGCTGTCGAGTGGGTGAAATGTAAGCAAGAGCTGGAGGGCAATATGTGTCATGGGTGAGGTACTTATCAAGCAAGCCCGTATAAAAGCTCGAGCTGCTGCAAATGTGTGCAGTCAAGGCTCGAGCGCGCGCGTTATTACTTGAAATGCCAAGCGGACACTTTATTCTTGAGAGCCGAGAGAGAGAGAGAGAGAGAGTGAGCGAGATGCAGCGTCGGTTTTCTCATATTACATTTGCATTCTTACATCGCGCATGACATTGGCGCGTCAAAACTGGTGTTCGTATTCGATTTTTTCCCAAAAAAAAAAAAAAAAAATAGACGAGTAGAAAAAAGAAAGAAAGAGCGCGACGTTTATATTGCAGACAATTACGCGAAAATAGTTCGAGCATTAGATGTACATCTTCTGCTGAAAAACTGCAACGCGAGGATGAATTTCATCTCGTCGGAATAGCTATGTATACGTATATTCGTATACATATACGAGCTGCAGCGAATTTCTCTCGCGTACTACTTGTCTCTCTCTCTCTCTCTCTCGCTTCTTCCTCTTTTATTTTTTTCTCCCTCGGCTCTCTGCTCTCGCGCTGCGTGTACCTACGTGGATATGCTTCGTCGTTCCCTCGTGTACTGGCGAAAGAAAAAATCTAACGAATGGCTCCTCGTTGGTCAAACTTTTAGGAATTGTGAAAAATTCCTAAGCACAGTCGCTATCCCGAGGCATGCGCGGCTTTCTCGCTATAACTTATGACGCTCATGCGTCGCAAGTCTCACTTCTCTCTTTCTCTCTCTCTCTTTTTCTCGCTCGGGCTTTGCCTATTATGCTCCTTTTTCTACTCGTAACTCGTATACTTCTTGCCCCGAGATAAGAGTATGTGCGTGTACATGTGGGTGTATCGCGAGATATAGTTTCATTTTTTACGAATAAACGTTTGCTTACCTAGAGAAGCCGAAATATATTCTTATAAATTTGGACGATCGTACAACCACTTGCGCATGATTCACGAGTAATGCAAAGTATTCATTCCGATTTTCTCGCTGAGAGATCGATCGCGTCGTTTAAATCAATAAAGCCATCGAGCAAAATAACTATGAATTATGCATCTATAGATACGCAGCCAGCAACAGCGAGTATTATGGCAATGACAGGCGAACAAAGAATGCAAAAAATGTATATTATACATGGCGATGCAGCGAGTGCGTGTTTTCAATGTTGCGCGGGGGCCAAAAAATATTCCGTGGCGCTGCTGCCGCGCCATGTTTTGTTTTAGCTTCATTCTTGTCACTGGCAAGTGTGAACTTGGAAATATAGGTACACCGGCGAAAAAGCTCGTATTGTGTATTTGTTTTCTGGTATCTAGCTTGACGTTTACCAAGTACAGATTTATTACTCAAAACTCGCCTTAAATACATTTCACGATATATCTTATTTCCAACTCGCGATTCAGTAGTTTATCGAGTTAAAAAGCTGCAAGTTGCCGTGAATTAATTGAAAAAAATAATTGACTCGCCCGATCGAGAAAAAGAGAGCGAAAGAAAAAAGAAGCTATGCACTGAATCTAAAATGTGCTCGTTTTTTTTATCAATCTATCACGGATCAGCGCAAGGTAGGCCCATCAGCAAGTGCTGGCTGCAAGAGAGAGGGACAGAGGAAGAGAGAGAGAGAAAGAGAGAAAATCTCTGGCGCTTAGCGCTCGCGGAGCAGTCAGCCATCCGAGAGAAGATTACGATTAATCCTCGGCTCGTGAACGCAATAACAAGCAATCGTGACCAAAATCTAACTCCTTTTCACGACTTTTTTTTTCTTCGCCCCTCTCTGGTCTATTTCTTTCTCGCTTCGTGTATATAGTCCCGACCACTATACACAACGTGATTCAGTTCGTAAATGAAAACATCCTCCCCTGATTGAACGGAAGCGATGTTGGTTGCAGCAGCAGCAGCAGCAGCAGCAGCGGCAGTTGGCGATAGAGGGAGGTATTGCCCTTTACCCGTTTTCTCTTCTTATCTCTGCCACTTTCGCTTCGTTGCTCTTTGCTGTCTTATTCCTCTTTTTTCCCGCAACCGTCCCTCTTTACTATCTCACGGCCGGTGTTTTTTTTTTAGTTTTTTTTCATTCGGGCGTTGATGCACGTAACGAGTTTGCTCGCAGTTTGTGTGTGTGTGTGTGTGTGTGCGCGCTCGCGACGCCCCGCTGCGAACGCAGTCGGAGAAAGATCCAGAGATATATATACACGACTTATTAGGTCGAACAAATTAAGGTCACGCGAGTGCGCGAAAAAAAGACGTCTAGTCTTTGCTGAGAGAGAGCGAGATTGAGTTAGGAGGATTTCATGACTTTAAAGCTGCGAGAACACCTGCACACGCGGAATAAGCCCGGAGTCCTGAAAAAAAGAGCCACCACTGCGTGACAACTTCTTATCTACCGTGTATGCCAGAGCTTTGTTACGTTACGCATCGAGGGAAATTTCGCACGACCCAATTGTCGATTCATCGCTGCTGTTGTTGGCATTCGTTTGTTCGTCGAACGTCGCTATATATCTTGTTACAATTCCACTAGAATATGCCAAGCTTTTGAATAGTTCGAGTACAATCTCGTCTTTATTATGCTCCGTATTGACGACTATTCATCAGCTAATACGGTTAAAACCGCAAAAATTGAATTTCAACAAATTCAAAGCATTCGTAGAAAATCTCTTATTGCGTTGAAAGGATTTGCTATTGAAATATTATTCCCTTGATTTAATAAAGAAACAAATTATATATAGATGCGAGTGTAAAACACAGAAGTCAATGAAATCAAATTCTCCACGATCGACGAATGTTTTCCAACGTCGAGCTCGTAGTAGTTTTTTCCCCCGGAAACTTCGTCATTGCTTTTTTACGAGCAGAGAATTGATAATCGAGATATTTTAAACCCCAGCCCGAGTTGCGTTTGCGCGATAATTTTCAGCCAAATATTCCAGGCGTTCTATATTATAACAATTCATTAGTCGAAAAGAATTTCAACTTCATCTTTCGTATGGTCGTCGGCTTCTCTCGTCCGGGCTCATCACTATCGCTCCCCGAGTGGGGTAGAAGAGTAGTGACTTTAATATTTCTCTTAGTTTTGCGAGAAAGTCAAGAGTCGTGCCCCTGTCGTGAGCTGCGCGCGCGCGACTTACTCCTTCGCATCCGTCCATTGAACTTTAATGAAAGCATACCGTTCTAGCGCCTTGAAACTTTACAATTACTCTCGTATTGCATTTCTCATTCTTTCCTTTTCTCCCGCCCATCTCTGGCCTCCCCCGCCCATCCCCTTGTCGGAGCTGTTCCCCACTTTTACGTCGCCTTTTCTCGAGCCAAACGCGCCGCGCGCGAAAGTCGAGCTTGTACGTGTATAGTTGCACTCGTTATTCCTGACCCACAGCTGTATACTCTTTTCCTGATTTTAATTTACAAAGTTCGATGCTTATGATGCACACCGTGCACCACTGCCTTGGTTCTCTTGCTTTCAAGTTTAAATTGTTGTTACGATTTGCGATTACGTTATCTCAATTTTTTATCAACCACCCGAGAGCTGCCAATTTTTTTCTCTCTCAATGCACTCGGACTTTTGTGAGAGCGAATTTGAAATTGATTTTTAAAATGGTTTGACAAAGTTTTGGCTTTTTGCCAAAAGACTATACGCGTGAGAAAATAATGTAAACATGAATTCATGTAAAGCAGTTATAACTCACAATAATATATCAATTGGATTAAAATTGAATGAAATTAAAAAATACAACTATAAAGTTTCACTGTTTTAATAGACTAGTAAATTTTATACGCGCTTCTCACGGCATGTTAATTTCAATTCAGTTTTATGTGAAGTTTGAATTTTCGACGTTATTGTCGCTATATTTCATTTCAAGTCAAGTTAAAAGTTAGTCGACCAATCGGAAGCCATTTTAAGATTCTTCACTTTTAGATTTATTTTTACAAGTAAAATAAAGACGAAAAAATACAAAGCACACGTACCGCGCACAAGGAATTATGAATCAGAATGTCTCTTTTATCAATGAAAAAGAGAATATAATATAGTTTGAGATATGCGGGAAATTGTATCGACATCTCAAAAGTTTTTAAAATAAACGATTGAAATGTCCACTTTTTTGTTCGACAGTACCACTCAGAGAAGAGACATCGGTGTCAGGTTCACGTGCTCGATTAACCTGCGAGTTGGGCTCAGGTCCCGAGGAAGCCTTCATGATATTCTGGTACAACTCGGAGAACGAGGGCTCGCCAATATACAGCGCGGATGCCAGATCCCGTCCTCTCAGCCAAGCCAAGCAGTGGTCCAACCCGAAAGCTTTCGGCGATCGCGCGAGCATGACCATCACGCCTGGCAAGAAAGCCGAGCTGTTCATCGATCAACTGGCACCCGAGGACGCCGGTATCTATCGCTGTCGACTCGATTATCGCAATAGTCCGACGGTGAATCAAAGAGTCAACCTCACTGTTATTGGTAAGCAACCTCGTTCACGATGGAGTAAGAGAGAAAAAAAGAATTAATAAAAAAATAGAACAAGCCCTCTTGAAGCTCGCTTCGCTCGAGTTCGTTGTATTAAAAGTCGAAAGAAGAGTTTTAGAAGTTGAAGCACTCGACGAAAGCTCTTATATACGCACACGATCTTGAGATTTAATTTTTTCCGCCGCTTTATTTATTTTTAATCAAGAAAGCTCGTGCTTCAGCTAGTCATAAAATTTTTTTTTATTCGCACTAATTGATTAAGCTAAGTAATTAATTATTGAATCACTTATTAAATTATATTAAGCAGCCATCGCTGGAAAGTATAAAAATTGTTGGAAGGCGTTAAAAAATGCTCGTAGCACGTTTATCGAGTTTAATCGAGCGCTTCATAACTTTTCTCAAGGACACTCGATCATCGTATCGTAGCTTACTTACGATCGAGAGGTCTTCGATGCAATAAAAATAACACGGCCACGTTCTCTCTTTGACAATCAGTGCCACCGCAAGAGCCGACGATCTACACGAGTGGTCGTCGTCCGGCGGAAAACCTGCCGCCACTCGACGAAGGTGGCGAGCTGCATCTGGTGTGCGAGTCTCAGGGCGGCTGGCCGGCGCCGAGGCTCACGTGGTACCGGGATGGCCGACTGATCGACGAGACGTTTACGCGCGACTACGACGACGTCACCCTCAACAGGCTGGACCTGCGCCGGGTCAACCGGGATCTGCTGTACGCGCGGCTCAGATGCGAGGCCAGCAACACGGCCCTCGTCAAGCCGAGCTTCGCCGACATTGTGCTCGACGTTAATCGTGAGTCGGCCTTTGCACTAGTAGCAGCTCTCTTTTGCCCCTTTTTTTTCTCTCGCTCTTAATAGATGGTCAAAGCCTGTCGAATCGTTTGAATTATAAATTGACTTGGCTGAATTCAAACCAGACTTGTAAATTTGTCAAACTTTAATGCTAATTAAAAATCGTACAGACTGCGCTATGTACTTTGCCCGGCATAAATTATTAAAATGGACAATTTGAGATAACATTTTGTCGAGTAGAAAATTTTAATTTTTAATTTTACTCGAGGAAATATTTTTTACGAGATAAGAATTTTTTTTTGCTCCTCTTTTTTCTGACAACCTCGTTTCGTTTATAAATAAAAAAGTGTTCTACTTCTAATAAAAAAAGTTATTCTTGCAAATCTTTTATCAAAATAACTGTCTTACATGTGTTTCTGACAAGTAGAAAAAGTAATTCTCCGTTCGCTCGAGATCTTTGCAGTATGAAAAAGTGAAAAGTAAAAAAAAGTAAAGGGAGAATAACCAACCTTTTTTTTTTTTTGACAAACAGTAAAGCCACTATCTGTGAATATAACGAACAAAGAGGCTCATCTTTCGGCTCTGCGAACCTATGAGATTGAATGCGTGAGTTCGGGCTCGCGACCCGAGGCTGTGATAACCTGGTGGAAAGGTACTCACCAAGTCAAGCACATGGCGAGAAACGTGAGTAAAACTTTTCTGATTCGTTCAACAATGAAATATTTCATACATATGTACGCTCGATGATCGTTTGCAGTTTGTAGAGGATAAGAATATTACCAAGAGTATAATGAGTTACGTGCCAACGATAGAAGACGACGGTAAATTCCTCACTTGCAGAGCCGAGAATCCTGTAATTTACGAAAGTGCTTTGGAAGACAGATGGCAATTATCCGTGCATTGTGAGTAAATTCTTACGTTTTACCCTGCACGCGCCTCTATCGATCGATCGACCGACCGAGCCTCGAGCCAATCGAATTATACATGTAAAAGTCATGTTTTTAATTAAGCGCGATAACCTGAGTTCCAACCTATATCTCGCGATTCCCTTCCCACTTCAAAGCTCGAAAATAATGAGTTGGCAGGTTCAAAGACTGCGAAATCTATATTAATAATAAGCAGCAAGATCGATGATGCATTAATGACGACAATAATAACAATGACGATCAAAGTTATAGACTGATTAGCCGATACGTCGAAAGACGACTTGTCCTATTTGTATTATATCGTTACGCTCCGACCGCAGACGTGCCCGTGGTGACGATCAAGCTCGGCTCGAGCTTGCGCGCCACCGACATCAACGAGGGCGACGACGTCTACTTCGAGTGCGAGGTTAAAGCCAATCCCAAGGCTTACAAGCTCAGCTGGTTCAAGGATGGCAGGGAGCTGTTCCACAACGCGTCGGCCAACGTCATACTGCCGGGCGGACACTCGCTCGTGCTGCAGAGCGTCTCGCGAAACTCCGCCGGCGAGTACGCCTGCATGGCTGTCAACGACGAGGGCAAAGCCACCAGTCGGCCCGTGACCCTCGACGTAATGTGTAAGTTGACGTCTTAAACACCGAAACGCTTTATGCAGCGGCGAAACGCGAGCTCTTTGCTTGCTATTCGCCACTAGACTTTACTCCCAGCAGCTACTGTGCTAAATATGAAAGCCGAAGCGAAGCTAAAAGCAGATCCACTTACATCCATCGAGAACTCATTTGCATGAAAAAAAGAATACGATCCTCGCGCCGGCTAATACAGAAGCGCCTCGGTTTTACTTTCATCGATTTTCATAATTAGCTCGGTGGAAAATGCTAACTACCTTGTGCTCCGATGAAACAAGCGATGCCTTCGAGCCTCGAACGCGCTCGAGCTCGTTGAAAAAATACGTGTGCGCATTTACAGATGCTCCCGTGTGCAAGGATGGAAGCACGACCCAAGTGGTGGGCGCCTTGAAACACGAGACCATCTCGCTCGTTTGCGGCGTCCAGTCGAAACCGCCGCCAACGAGCTTCCAGTGGACGTTCAATAATTCGGGCGAGCTGCAAAACGTACCGTCCACGAGGTACACGCAGATGAGGCCGCAGCATCTGGTGACGAATCATTGGCACGGCTCGAGGCTCAATCACACGCCCACCAGCGAGATGGATTACGGAACGATCGGCTGCTTGGCCACCAACTCCATCGGGACGCAAAAAGTGCCCTGTCTCTTTCAGATCATCGTGGCCGGCAAGCCCTACCCGCTGCAGAACTGCACGGCGCTACAGTCGACCGGACCCTACGCCTATCGTATGGGTGAGAAAGAGCTCTTTTTTATATACGAATAATAACAATCATAAGCAGCGAGGAAGAGACGCGACGATGAATTTGCGATCGGTGCTCGCACAATGGCTATTTGTTGTAGACGCGCGCGGCTGATGTATGTAGATATGATTTGATGCGTGCGTAAAGCGTCAGGGATGCACGATGCATTTTCGTAATTGATGGAGAGCAAAAGCCTCGTGATTAATCGATTGTTCAATTTTAATTTTGCGTTTGAATCTCGGCCGCGAGGCTGTCTTCCGTACTTTTATTTATTGCCTGGGCACGGAGCTGTAGCCAACGCCGCGTTCTCTTGCTTCGTTCATACCGCGTCTATGTATACAATTTGTCGCAATGGAAAATTTATAATTTATATACATATTTTTGGCTCGTTCGAGCCCGGATCATCATTTTCTAGTTAGTCGTATAATTACAAAAACAATATAAATTTTATTAGCTGCGCGCTGGCAAAAGTGTATTTTAATTAAGATGAAAAAAAGGAGGAGCCCCAGCAAAAGATAACTCGCTTTCGCAAAGTTGCGCATTTATTAATAATGCGATTACTCTCTATTGTGGGTAGCGAATTTGAAGCGACAAGTGCACTTTCTTGCCTCGCTTCTCTGCGCTCCCTTTCACCTCTCTCACTTAGGCTCTTTCCCTCTTTCTATCTTTCTCTCTCTGGGGGATAGCATAAATAATATGTATATCATTTCATGACTAACTGAAACTCGGTATAAGCTATGCGAGAAACAGCTCTCTAGTCCGAAAATAATTAGCTGCTTTCGTTGCTTTTACAGTATATTATATTGCTTTGGGAAATACTGTTTCGACCATAATCCAATTTTAGTATTCTCTTCACCTTTGGGAAAAGCTTTGACTTTAAAATCCTATCTAAATAATAAGCCCATCAAGTCTCTTTTGCCATTTAAAGTCACCGCACGTAAATGCGAGCTCGTTGCCTCTGTCGCTGATACACATACGTATATATAAATCTGTACGTTCCAAAATATAATTCTTTGACGTTTGCGCGCGGGTGCACAGGTCACGAGGACTTCAAAACGACCGACGCCCGGGACGCCGACTGGCTCATCGTGCGCTGCAGCGAGGGCTTCGACGGCGGACTGCCCATAACCGGCTACGAGCTCGAGGTCTACAGCGACGAGAACGTCTACCACGTCAATACCATCGCCATAAATCGCACGATGGACAAGATGGCCATGGACACGAGCGGCAACGGCGTGAAGCCGCTGACCACCGGCCCCATCTTCGAGATACCGGGTCTCGAGCCCGGACGCAACTATCGGCTGCACCTCTACGCCACCAATGCCAAGGGCAGAAGCGATCCCGTCGTACTGGAGCCGGTCACTCTCAAGGGGGTCGCCATGTACACCACCGGTGAGTTTTTATCGTTCTATTCCGCCTTCCATAAATTCAACTCATCGACTTGGATAGAAGAAGTTTTTTAGAAAAATACAAAAACGAAATTATTACTGCGTGTCAAAAGCGCGTGCTTTTAAAAAAGGATATTAGAGACAAGAGACGTCGTCTGATTGAAGTGTGTGAGCCTTTCGTGTTTTTGAAAAAGCTCGAAAAAAGTGTAATTTCGTCACGCACAAGCAACAAGCAGTGTGTATGCGCAAGCACGAATGCCAAAAAAGCTGGAATTTTTCGTTTGAGCCATCAGGCTCGAGCAACAGCGCCAGCAGCTCTTGCGGACCTTGCTTTTTTTTCCTTTTTCTCTCTGTCTCTTTCGCATGTGTCTTTTGCATCTTTGCATCCGTGCAAATGTCCTGTGCCGTGCTCGATAGCTACGCGCGCCGTGTGTGTATGTATAATAGCGAGGCATTAGAGCAAACCCAGCTTTTCTCCTACGTATACCCTACGTTTATATGCGTGCGCACATACACTACACCAGGGGCTAGGGCTTCGCGTCGTAACATCCTGAATTCTTAATGAGGTGCGAATTTCACGTGCTCGTGTCCAAAATTCGGCTTGAAAATGCCGAAACCTAGAGACGCGTAGCAGCAGCAGTGCTGGTAGAGCAACAGCAGAGGTGGAGGCGTTGAGCAGCCAGTGCGTATAGTCCTCATGAATACAGAAGCCCATAATGAATGCACGACGACATTTTATGGCTTTTTCTGGCTTTTTCTAACTCATGGACATTCTCCCCAGATCCGCGCTAGAAAGAGAATAGCGTATCAAATGTGCTTTTCGCCCATAACCGTGAACGCATGCGTGAGTGTACGTGTATGTTTGTGCCGTATATACACACAATGCATAAGCACAATTGCCTTGTGCTTTCTTGCATAATTGCACGAGAACACTATATAAAGTAAAAGAGAGACAATGTCCGTCATTTTGATCGTTTGTTAAAACAATCATAATTAATTCCAACGTATGTTGAGATTCGAGCGGCCAAATATAGGAATAGAAGCTTTGAAAGATCATATTTGCGTATGGTTTCGGCTAATGGATATCAATGTGCATCTGTATAGTCGATCGAATCATTTGGGCGGGAATCTTTTGCGTGGCTTAGATATAATACGGATCCTGATATAATTCGATACAGCGAGTTAATTAAGCCACTAATTATTTCATCAGTTCGTTGCGTGTATAATCGATGCACTACGAGAGCTTGTCTAACTAGATTTCCAATTATTTCGCTATAATGTATTTAGCGTTTAAAGGGTCAAGGAAGGGTTTTGAAGATAATATACCGGAGTACGAGCGAAAAAAAGTGTAAAAAAGGATCTCGCCTCCCTTTTTGTCCTCGTACTTGTACTTTGGCCGCTGCTCTCCACATAGTTCTCTTGTTCTTCTACATACTTATCATCGGGTAAATGAGCTCTGCCTCGAAGTTCTTTGCCCGCGAGTTCATTCACGTAGGCGGGGACGCATTTGCAAAAAAAGCCGGGCCATGCGTCGCTGTAACACTGGCGTTGATACCCGCTTCTCCGTATTATGGAAGAAGCGGCCAATTTAAATAGCTATACCGTGGAGCTTGCGAGTCGGGTTGAATTAAAATCCCATAAAACAGTGAAAGAGAGAGAAAGAGAGCGAGAGAGAGAGAGAGAGAGAGGAGAAAGAGGAGAAAGCGGGCCCAGAGTCCCGAGGGCCATGCAGCTGTCTCATTCGGAGCACATTTATCGTCTTTAATTTCCATTCTCATGGATTATTCATGTCGAGCCGGCGCAGAGCCGAGAAACAGCATACCAAGCGTAGAGTTGAACTATATATAGGTACGGCTCTCACTTTGCCTCTCTCTCTCTCTCGCTCTCGCTCTGTCTCTTTCACTGGCTTTCTCTGCATGTAGGTATGAGCTTGCAGCCACACACCTACACACACAAGCTTGGGCTATATAGCATACAATGCACACACGTATAGAGACGCGTTTGCGAGCGGACCGCTTCATCCAGCAGCAATCTCGGCTCACGTATTGGCATGCGTGTGCATCGCTGCTCGTAAGACCGATTTCGGCCAGCTCGCAAGCTCGAGCTGTTTTCTCCATTGTTTTGCGCTTATGCGGTTTACAGCAGCGCCGCGCACAGCTGAAGGGCGCACGGCTGCTCGTGTGCATCCCTCATCCCCCCGCCCTTCATCCAAGCACAGCAACGCCGGCTTACGTGCACATCCCGGGTATTTTCTAGCCGAGCTACTGCTGCGCTCGCGCTCCGACTTGTTTATAGACACGCGGCTGTGCGCAAAAGTAAATTTAACCGAGCAAGTTTCATATCTGCGCGCTGCAGCGGCCTCTCCCTTTCCCCCCGCGCGCGAAATTTCCCATTGCAACGATAATTAAAACGTAACTTTGCGTATCGAATTACGACGGATGCAAGGATGCAAAACTTGCCCGATGAAAAATTAATCAATGCATCGTACGTACATATATACATCTGCTTTGGTCGTACTTTTAAACGAGTAATGGAATTCATTAATATTATATGATTGTTACTTTCGAGGAAGCAGAGCCACGTTATTAAATTGCTCGATCGGTATATCCGCGCGAGCGAATGTTCGAGTTATGTCCGAAAATTTGTCGAGCTCATGAATAAAAGCTGCAACACGTGTCATGTTTCCTGCTCGAATAATATCGATGATATAATAAAATATAACGATAATTTTTGTCCAGTCATCTATTGGACGATTTTAGCATACATTTGGTCCTTGACGCGTTGTCATATATTTGCGCAGGTCGTGGCTCGAGCAATGCCTTAACGGCCGACTACAGCCTGATGGTGGCCTGCCTGGCCGGCAGCATAACTGCGATCTGTATACTCGTGGTGGGCGTGACTCTGACTCTGTACCGGCGTAATCAGCAGCAGCGACAACAACAGACTCGCGCCACCGTCCACCAGGCCGGCAGCAACGGCAGCAGCGGCGGCGTCAAACTGCGCCAGCCGCTTCATCATCAGATGCAGCTGGTCCAACACTACGCCAACAGTTCGCAGATGGGTGGTGGTTGTTCGGGCGGCGGGGCGGCGGTGGTCACGACGGGCGGCAGCGTCACGGCCCAGCCGACCACCGCGACCATCGTCCACGGCCGCTACGAGTCGCTGGACCATCAGCAGCAGCAGCAGCTCACCACCAGCATCGTGGCAGGCTCCAACGCAATCCTCGGTCAGCTGCGAAAGCAGCAGCCCACGGAGTACGAGGAGCATCAGCAGAAACTCATGCTGCAGCTTCAGCAGCGCACGGTGAGCACTCCTATAAGAGCTTTTTTATCTTTAATCGTACGATTGTAAGTGCCCGAATTTTCTTCGGTTCTCTATGCATATAATCTTGGGAAATTGTCGAATTCTCTCGAATAGAACGCGCGAGCCGATTGAAGTGCGAGCACTACCATTGTACGCGGGCTTGATTCGGAGGTTTGTGTGCGAGGCAAAGTTGACAAGTACTATTTTCGCGTTCACAGCAGTTGCGTCAGGAGTACGAGTTGCAGCAGCGAAGCGGAGAGTCAGCGTTTTGCTCGGCGGCGTCCCTGCTAAAGTCCAACATTGTGGGCAACGGCGGCGGCGGCGGCGGCTTCGGCGGCTGCAACGACGACGACGACAACGACGACGACGAGGACGACCATCCGGACGTTGTGGCGTCGAACAAAACCGAGCGTCGATCCGATTATCTCGTGAGTCCTGCTACTGCTCCTCGAGTGGGCGGTGGCGGGCTATTATTCGACTGCTTGGCCGACGGCAGTCGCGATCACGGCGACTCGATACCGGCCTCTCACGAGCGAGACAGCTGGATTAGGCAGAACGGCTCTGCGGTCGTGTGTCAGGCAGCCATGAGCGCCTCGAGCGCCGCCACCACCGCCGACGGATCCAGCCCGACCAGCAGCAGCTCCAACTCGACGCAATTACGGGCCGCCGCGCCGCACTACCAAGACGTCTACACGAGGAGTCTCCGTGTTCAGGAGAGCTGTATATAGACACCACCTAACGAACCCCGACTATATCAAGTGTGAACTTTTACGCGACGTCGTCGCCCTCGGCTAACGACCGACTCTTAAGATCGTTGCGACGAGCAAAAAAAAAAAAAAAAAATGGTTAATCACCGCCAACCGTACGTACTAAGTATACATATAAACGAGGATTATTCATACATTATAAATGACGAAGCAAATGTGAGATATATATACGCGAATCGCACGAGTGCGGCGAATATTTTCACCGAGAAGGTGAGCGAACGTGCGTGTGTTTGAACGTTGATGTGTGCACATCCGTGTGTGTCTGTCTGTATGCCTGCGTGCGCGCCCGATGACTGTGCGTATGCGTTTAAACGTGTGTTATAATGCGAGCTTGGAGTTTGTACATATAGACAATAAAAGATACATTTCCTTGTTAAAGCCAGTTTACTTTATTTTCCATGAATTATTTATATTTAGTTATTGCAGATTTTCTTCCTTTTTAGAGCTTCCAAAAATTACGCAACTTGAATATCAATTGTTACAAATAATTTATTTACTTTTAATTAGTAACTTTTTAATCGCATCACGAACGATCGAGTCCGCAACGAATCCGCGGCAGATTCCAGCTTTGCCATTGATCACCGCATCGAGGTAAGATTACTAATTTTAAATTAATCGATTACAGATTACTGTATCGGGTCTCAGTACTCATGCTTGAATTCATAAGTGACAATTCATTCAAAGTTCACTCGAATAACGCCATTTCTTCATTCGCTCGACAAACTAGGATATATTTTTGTCGTACAGGCGACGTTTAGCGAATAAATCACTATCGCAAACAGAAATATATGCAACAAATCCATTAATTAGTGTACGAACGGAACGATGCATCAATAATAAACAGTCGGGTTTGGCCAACAAAATGTCAAATCAATGTCAAGCTCAATTATGGTCCTTGTCCGAAGCTTTAGCGGTTCATCGAACTATATACACTCGTACTCGCACACGTGTACGCGAAAGCGTCGCTCGGGCCTACGTCCGTGTGCGTGCGTTGTATGCATTAAATGTGCTCGGAATTCGCGTTATGCTCTCGAATAGAAACGGTAAGGGTGTGTTTGTGTGCGCGCCTGCGTGCGGGTGCTTTTCGTGCAGCCCGGTAATAGAATAAACAATAATCGAATGAAACTACGCGCTGGATCGACGCAATGTTCCATTTCGATTATGTCTCGTTTTGCTTTTCTGTATCAGCCTCGCGTGGCTCTAATATAGATGTATACACGGAGATTTTACCTACTCTCGCAGGAATCAGATGGGATGGGTCGAAAATTTCGATTGATTGACGTGTCATCGAAGAAAAAAATCCGATCGTTAAACTCAATACGTTTGAAAGTTATAAACTTTATTATTATTATACCAACAAATAATGATGGCAGATTACATTTTTTCCAACACTACACAGATATATTTATAATTTTTTTACGATCTATACAAACGAATATCCTTGGACACGAAAAAAGTTTTATCACCACAATTTACGATCGAGTTGAGGAAAAAAAGAAATTTTTTTGTTTTTTTTCTAAAACAAATATTTTCATCGATCCCCAGTGCACGAAAAATTATCAAGTATCAAAACGTATAAACCATTTTAAATTTTACCGTCTTTTGAAAAAGCAAATCATTTATAAACATGAAATAGAGACTAGAACTCAAATATAGGTCAAACTTTTGTTTACATTTGAGAAATACGCGCACAGGCTTTTATGGTTCAAATTTGACAGCTTGAAAATTCGCTGCTTCATTTCTACAAACAAATTCAACTACGAACACGTTTTTACACTTCTTGTACTCGCTTATTACACGCACATGATAAAATTATTACAGTGTATTACATACAAGCAATAAAATGTTCACCACTAATGTCAGTTACACTCGTTATCAATTTCCATGCAAAGCATTTTATCGATGATTCTCTCGACGTCCGTCGGTACGGTCCTCGTCCACACTTCGGGAAATTCCTCCCTCGGGTGATTCTCTTCGGTGATTTCGAAAAGTTTTTCGCCCGGCGGCAGCCCCAACTTTTGCTCGGCTTCCCATTCCAAAGTCGCGAGATCCTCGTGATTTTTCTTGTAAATGATATACTAAAAAGTATAAAATGTTCGATGCTTCAGTTTGCGTTGGTGCATTGCTAAATAAGTATATTTATCCATTATTATATCGAAACTTTCTTACCATTTCAATGATATTCGTGTCGGGTACGAAGTAAAAATATCTGTGTTCCTCGATCGTTTCCATATTGTATCATATACAATAAATAGCTTGTACCAAAAGTTTTCTTTGACAACGAGTTAATTTAGAATTAAAGATAATGAATTTTTTTTAATTGAGAATATTTGACAATTCAATTTCAATTTCTATTAAAAAAAATGCATATCACCAGTTGATTTTAGTCGCGAACAACTACTTTGATCACTTCCGATCAGTGTCTAACTGATTTTTCAGCAACTATAAAGACCTGGGCTAAATAGTCTCGACTCGTTAGCGCATGCGCCCTATCGTTTCTTTAAACAAACATCAAAACAACGAGGATCCTTTTCTTTCATTCTTACTTCTTACTCGTTCTATAGCAGAAAAGTTTTGCGCTTCGAGCGTCACAACAGATGAAATGTTAAAACTTACGACACACAATTACACACTATAACACATTTACACGCACTCGAATCGAGTGAAAATCATCAACAAACAATTCGTTACAGTGACCTACTGAAACACATATGTAGCAGACGATTAATGTTGGTCAATTTGTCGAGTCCCTTTAAAAATAATTCAGGAATACGAAGCGAAATTCGAAAGCGAATGGCTTTTGTTTTCGTCGCTGTTTTTTTAAATTCGTCCAATCCTCATTTTATACATCGTACGAAACGTTACTCTCGCACGAATTCAAAGTTAGGTTAATGGAGTAACACGGTCATAAGCGGGAGAAAAGTTTGAGATAAATTCGCCGGCGCGAGGGCAATGCACTGCGCAGCGAACAATTGATATAAGGGCACCACGCGCGCAGTAGTAGCATCGGCGTTGGTGGCGGCGGCAAGACAAACTGTGCCTGCACGATAGATCGCTCGATATATGCTGTGTAGGTAGTAGGTACGCCCGGCCGTAGTGCGCGCGGGTCCTATCCGGGGTGGAACAGGCTTGAACGTGGACTTATAGCTCGAGCTACTTAGACGAATAGACGCGCAACTGCTGCAGTATATACTACGGCAACGACGCTATGAGCAGCAGTAGTGCAGCACTGCGAGGACTGTATACCTACTATACTACAGGCAAGCTACACACAGAGAGCTCCGAGCACTTGGTTCGCGCGCCCCGCTAATATATCGGTTGAACGCGACCCGAGCCCCGCACGAGCTTTTACATGCACGTATTTATGTTCCGCGTATATGTATATATAACTATATACATACGTACGGAGTCACTCACAAAAATAAAGGCGCACAAAAGCCAAGGATCTCTGACGCGAGGATTTTTCATCTCATATATGAGAAAACAGTAAACATACTGCTGCACGTGCATGAGGCTGCTATACTTCATCGCAAATGTCAGCTTAGCAGCCTCTATGTACAAAATTTCTCTCTCTCTCTCTTGACATCAGTGAAAATATTTTAAGCCTTTTAGGTTTGCGGTCAATTTTACACATAATTTTTTATTTAAAAAATAAAAGTCGCTATAAAAAAGGGAATATTTTTATTTACTATCTTGATATATTCTTTTTAAAACAACAATAGCTGGCGCGTAACGTAAAGTTTTGCTTTCAAATAAAAAGTACGAATACTCTTATTCGTTGCTATCTGTTTATATTATTATTAAAATTCCGAATTTTGATTATTCTTGAAATGGATTATTAGTGAAAAACTTTTTTTATTCAAAAAGAAATTCAAAATTAATACTTTTACCCAAATGATCAAATGACTGAGTGCATAAATGAGAAGAAAAGGCTTTTCGAAGTAGCGATTAACTGCGCGTCATCAATAAATAATGCGACACTGATGGTTTAATTGTACGAGTATAAATCTAGGTCACAATATGGGCGCTCGCGTCTCGTGCATTTTTCACTCGGAAGGCAATTTTTAAAACTCGTTGAGAGTCAGTCGTTCAGTAGAACTGGGCTTACATAAAAAATTGCAATACACATTGAATAGACTTTTTTATGATGAAATTCACTGTGAAGCTGAAATTGGCAAGAGAGCCCGACGCAATTGTTTAGTTCAGCCAACACTGCATTCTAAAACGTAAAAAAAATATGAAATCAAATTAGCCGTATACGGCAGGCCTATGTTGCGAGGATTAATAAAAACTAACGTGAACAATTTCTCAAGAGTAGTGAACTATGGTAAACACGCTGTACATCGGTAATAAACATGTCCCATTGACAAATAAAAAATCGTAATTTCTCTGCAAAAGTGTCACGCGGAGGCTGAAAAGGATATGATTTTTCCGAGGCTTGCGGTAACGGAAGACAAAAGGCCGAGGCTACGCAAAATCGGGGCACGAGGCTAGGGTGGGAGGGTCGGAAACAAAGGTATATTTCGGGAACTAACACAGCACGTGCAGTCCGGGATAGGCTGCAGGGAACACGAGCCAAACGCGCGAAGCGCAAAATGGAAGTCGAAAAGCGCAAAACAATTCCCGGACCAAAAGCGAGGCAGTGCTGCCGTGTGAGCTTATAATTGATAGCCGTTCATCCTCTCTCTCTCTCTCTCTCTCTCTCTCTCTTTTCCTCGTTGCTGCTGCTTCTGCTGCACATGCAAAGCCAAAATATACACCGCAGCGCCGAGCAGCCAGCGGGCGCGGATAGTATCGGAATTTGTTTATTTTCGCCTGATTTTGAATTTATGAAGTAAACTACCGCGAATTTCCGCGAATTTTGGGAGCTTCGGAAATTGATGTTCCTTTTTTTTTATTTTCGCATGGAATGGATATTGCTCTTTCCGAAGATTGAATTTGGCCACTGTGCCGCATTGCCGGTCTCTTTTAATTAAAACCTCGATTTTTCAAGCGTCAAAAAGTCCATTGCAAGTCCACAGCCGCAGTAAGTGTATTTATTCTTAAAATATGTATGCTTTCAATTCTGTGCCGAGC